CGGTCGCTCGGGGCTCTCAGGTGAAGGAGGGTTGTTGCTCTCTCTCTCTCTCTCTCTCTCTCTCTCTCTCTGTCCCTCTCTTTTTCTTGTCACCATTCATCTATTATTAAAGCCAAGGTCACCAACCTGGCAACACTCTGACTCCACTCCCCGTTGCTAGGCATACAAATCACACACAAACACACACACGCAGCAGTCCAGACTGCGTGTACGGCAATCTTTCAGTCTACGCTGAATCACGACATGTCACAGCTATAGATTTAAGGGTGCACTGCAACATTATTGACATCATTTACATTAAAGTTTCAGTGAGTTTCTATCTACTCTATGAATAAATTAATTCATCATAAGCTTATATATCTGTCTGCACAGTTCATAAAGAGGTGCCATTGAGGTTTTGGAGCATTATTTCCATGTGTGTGTACATTTGTGTGTGATTGAAGGAGTTTTACGATACAGTAAAGCATTTTAAAATCGTAATATTTGCTTTATTTTTTGAGTTCAGCAACAATAAAACAGCGCCTCAGTGATTTATTTTCATTTTCTATGAAATGAAAAATATATTGAGCGTGTTAATGCATGGACAGATGTATGTCTGGGTTTCTCAGGATGTAGTTACAGAATGATGTCTGACTTAAAATTGGTTGGTTTGAAAATAGAAACTACCACAGAAAGGTTAAAAAAAAGTCAACCAATAACATTACAATATGTATTTCAGATTGTTTCCAAGGAATCATTCATGTATTCAATTTAATCTACTTATTATAATATGTATAGTATATATAGATAATATGTTGTGTGTCTTCAATAAATCATTCAATATGTGAATATGCAAAATAATGCATATTCACAAATCCCCAAGCAGCTGGAAGAAATGTACTGAACTTTCTTCTTAGAATGGGTGCAGAGGGGCCTGCACAGCTTCCAGATAAACCTTTCTGAATAAAGTCCATCTCATAAAGTAATTTATTTAACAGTCATATTCTGACTCAGAAAGGAGGTTTAGTTTGTGGCTAGCAGTGGCGTAAGGCCAGGGATATACAGATCGCACCCGTTTCAGTTCCTCTCCTCTTATAACTGGTGTTTTGGTTGTTCAAATTGTTTGTAAGATCTCTGAGGGGCTTCAGCAGTATTCCATCACCAGCTGATCTTACTTTTGAGATTTTAGGGGCCGCTACAGAGTGGGATTTTAGAGCACCATTATCGCTTTCTATATATCAAATGCAGCAGCTGCCAATTGGATTCAACACTCCACACAGAGTAAACCTTCTGTTCCACTTAGGAGCAGCAGCTGATTCCTGCCAATTGAAACAGGCACAGGTGCTCATTTGCCCTCACTCACCTGCTGCTCACTAAGGCCACATTTTGACCAAGGATGTGGCACATTAGATTGATTGAACTGTCAGATGGATGGTGGTGGTGTATTGTGTCTTTTGAGATGCCGGAAACAAGCTTTTAGAAAAAGTACATAAGGGCCAATCAGGACTAGTAAGAA